ACAGCAGTCTCTCGTCTAGGGCAACATAGTCTAAAGTCGACGGCAGCGTCTCCAACAGCAGAGTCGGCCTCCTGTCCGCGGCGTCGCTTTTAAGGACCGGCAGCCTTTGTTCCCTATTGGCTCCTCCGCTAGTGGTCCATGCAAGGAGCCATCGTGCGTCAGCCATCATGTCCTCATCGTGACGCTTGGGGCGCGCGTTTTGCCCTTGGCCAAGCATGACGTCACGGAGGGCAGACTCCGGCCGCGGTTGTCCTTTCGTGCTCGCGTGTCGTCGCTTGAAGGTCACTTTCTTTGTCTGCTCTGTATGTGCAAGTAGTCTGTTTGAGTACTTTACTCTTGTATCCTTAGGACGGCCTGAGTTACGACTTGGCCGTCCTAACAGTCACCCCTAGATGGCCTTCAGACTTCTAGGTCCTAGGTTCGGCCTTCTTCATTTTTTTCGTAAACCTCGCAAGCTACAAGCCACTTTATTTTTCTTCAAAAAAATCAGAAGCATTCAATTCTCCGTCTATTCGCTAAATATCCTGATCTCATATGTCGCATATCCAATGCTGTATCCCCCCACAGAATGCTATTTGTCACATCGGGATCATCTTTCCTTGTTAGCTCAATTTCACCGTCATGAACCTTCTCATCACGCTGTAGACAAGCATGAATTGTAACTCATGTTGATTATCGTACCTGCATTTTTGCATACATCTGACGTCACACAATGACAACTTACGTCTCTGCAGTGACTGCATGCCATGGTAACCATTACTACCAGCGCGTGCTAACCGATGCCCCAATTTTCAGGACAAAGACGGCACCTTAGTTGAAAATATAACTTTCTCCAAAACCGACCAGACTCATATATCCAAATTTTCTAGGATAACGATTCATAGAAGTCGTTAAAATCTTCTCGATCTTGCCGAATAACCGCGCCTGTGCCCTGGTCTGTGCGGAACCTCCTAAATGTCCTAGAAGTGACTTGGTACGCTATTTAGCAGCCAACGCGTCATGCAAATGCCGGTAACGGCACTTAATGTCTGAGCAGCCACCACACCGATCGATAGGCCCTACGTTTGAAAGCACCTAGACTGTCAGTTTAGTTCATGATGTCTGTTTCACAGCTACCTCTTATTAACTTATTGTCCTCTCGGCTGGAATTTTTATATTATCTTCTAATGAGGACGAATGAAGCAGACTTTAGTGATGCTCAATTAAAGACATCCGGATTTGTAGAACAGCATGGTAAGTTACTGGTTATCATTATTTTTATTCCACCCACTGTTGGGGGTTATGCAATAGCTCTTGCGATACTTTTATATGGGATGAAGAAGTTTTATTAGGGTAGAATTTACTAAATATTTGAATGAATTAAATAAAATAGTTTGAATATTCCTGTATAAGCTTTGCTCTCTAGGTTAGTCTTTGTCAACCATTCGGCATAGATTTGTGCCTTCTCCCCACTGCAGAAAGCATGGCAAACGCAAGCTAGACTTTTAAGACGTTTGTTTTTAACGCTCTGTAACTTTCGATGCCCCCTTTTTACGAAAACTTTCCAAAGCAGCACTCTAGTGAGGTTTACCGTGATTCTTTGATTCATGACATAAAAGTACTCAGCTGTTTAGTGCATACTGACAGAGAAGGGATCTATTGCGGCAAAGTTCATTCGTTTGGGAGCTGATCGGTGCATAAATTGAGGATAAGTGCGTGTTCTGTTTCCTATATTCCATGAATATATTTGAGACTCCTGTCACAAATTATCTGAGAGCTTAACTCTCATACGGGCAGTTAATAAAGACAGGCTTTACGTGATAGTTACGGAGTGTGGAGCAAATGTTGTGAAGGAAGCAAGGTAATTAGCCTACGAGGATATTATAAAACGACAACAAAGTCTTTCGCTTATTCTTTAGCGCAGACCTGGGCTGAAATAGCAACCTCCATGGAGCAGGCTTCGAGAGCTGTTGATATTCGAAAGCTCTGCCAACATATTTGCCAGGCTAGCGGTAGGCTGTCTTCACTGAGTGAATCAATTCGTGATGTGAATGGCGGCTTAATTGCTGACAACGCGACCAAGGTCGAGCGCTGGCGTGAGCACTTCTAGTTACTCCTTAACTTTGATATGTAAACCAGCACCCCCTGCTCCCCCTTACAACAGAGACTCCGCCATCTCTCACTTATCCAGTTTCATGCGACCAGCCTTCTAAAGGAGAAATTGTTGATGCCATGAACAGACTGTGCAACAATAAGGCACCTGGAGAGGACAGTATAGCCGCTGAAATATAAAGGTCTTGTTTTGACACTCTGGCACCTTGACTCCATGAGGTAATTGGACAAGCGTGGAGCGACGATACAGTTCCTCATGACTGGGGTTCAGGCATCCTTGTGCCTGTCCACAAGAACGAAGATAAGACTAGATGTGAGAACTACCGCAGCATAAGCCTCATCAGCGTTGCTGCGAAGATCTTCGCAATTGTTCTCCTCAGGCAAATCCAGTCTGTGTGCGACTTAAGAGCGCGAACCAATCAGGCCTGATTTCTCGCTGGACGTGGATGTGTGGATCAGATATTTACACTGAGACGGATCTTTGAATTCCGCCATAGCTACCAAAAACCAACGGTCGCCTGCTTTCTCGACTTTGCCGTTGCGTTCGATTCGGCCCATCGTGAATCCCTATTGTGGATACTGGCAATGGATGGTGTTCCATAAATGATTATTGCCATGATCACTGCATGCTATAGCTCCATCACTGCGCTGGTCCTGGCCCAAAACAACCTCTCAGAACCCTTCGCTAGTCCGTCTGGTATTCGAGAAGGCTGTTTCCTGTCGTCCATCCTATCTATATATACCATTGACTGCATTCTGAGGAAGGCTCTACGTGTAGATGACGTTATTGAACTTGCACCCGGACGCAAGTTGACTGAGCTCGTCTATGCTGATGATATCGCTTTACTATTTGTCAAGTCAATCTATGGTGTCACGGTGGCCGACGTCGATACGTTGTATAGCTCATAAAGTAAGATGATGCGGGTTGTAATAAACCTACACTGACGGGGTATTATAAGGTCTGATGAGTATTCACACGTTAAAGCATTTTATTGAAATTGTGAATAACGCGGCTGTATGTGGATTTACTTGGCTTGCAGGTAGTCAACCTACAACAGAATC